GGCCCTGCCCCCCAGGGGACCCCCACCCTCAACCACGGCCCTGCACCCCAGGGCTGGGGGGGGCATCAAGGGGTCCCACAGAGCCCAGGGGACCCCCACCCATTAACCCTTAACCACGACCCCTGCACTCCCAGGGCTGGGGGGGGCACCGGGGGTCCCACAGAGCCCAGGGCACCCCCACCCCTTAACCACAGCCCCTGCACCCCCAGGGCTGGGGGGGACACTGGGGGGGTCTCACAGAACCCAGGGGACCCCAGGAAAGGCTCGGGGGGTCCCAGGTGGGCACTGCCAGGGGCAGGGGCGGGGCAGGGACCACCCACTCACCAAACCATCTGCTTGGGGGGGGATCGGACGGTGCTGTTGAACTCGCAGAACTTCTCCTGGGGGAGAGAGGGGGGATCAGGGAACACACCTGGACAGGTGGGAAGGGCAGTGTGGGAGCCAGGGATAAACTCAGGTGAAGGATGCCCGGATTTTCATTTGCTTTTAAGGAAGTTAAACCAAGTCCATTCTAATTCCAACTTAAGGAAATTAACACCCAGAAAAGAATTTCGCTTGGGCAAAGAAAAAATGCCAGATTTCACATTTGGGCTTTACTTTGGTCATAAAATCACTCATTAATTTTTTGCCTGATTATTAAAAATATATCCCCACTGCTGTGGCTCCAGCAATTCAGAGTTGCTACACTCCTGAACTCCCTCCTCAAACCTCCAGCTTGGTCACAGACAGACAATTCTGGTATATAACATGAATCAAATGTTATATATTATACATATACACACGGGCTCCTGCAGCCCTGAGCCCGTGGGGACCCCCAGGGACCCCGTGTGCCCCCCCAGTGCCCCCCCAGCTCACCTTGAGCGTGGCCAGGCCCATCCAGATGTACCCAGAGTCACAGAACAGGGCGAGGAGCCGGTGGTTGAAGGACACAGCCATGTGCAGGAACGGCCCCGCTGAGGGGCTCAGCCCAGGGGGGGTCTGGGCAGGACAGGGGGGACGTGGGGACACGTCCTGGGGTCCCAGAGTGTCCCCCTGGGTGGGAGGGGCTGGGGGAGGGTCAGAGCTGGGGGGCCCTTCCCTCCCACTCAGCCCTGTGGGCAGGATGGGGCACAAATGGGACAGTGGGAGGGAGGAGCTGGGAGAGAGTGTGGAGGGCTGGGAGCATCCCATGGGACAGGGAAAGGGCCTGGGAGCATCCCATGGGACAGGGAAGGACCTGGGAGCATCCCATGGGACAGGGAAAGGACCTGGGAGCATCCCATGGGACAGAGAAGTATCTGCCATGGAGTGTGGGGAGCTGGGAGCACCCCATGGGACAGGACAGAGAAGGGAAGGACATGCCATGGAGTGTGGGGAGCTGGGAGCACCCCACGGGACAGGGGAAGGACCTGGGAACAAGTGACAGGGACTGGGAACATCCCATGGAACAGGGGAAGGACCTGGGAGTGAGTGTGGGGGCTGGGAGCATCCCATGGAACACTGGGGAGAGGGGAAGGACCTGGGAACATCTCCTGGGACACTGGGACTGGGGAAGGACCTGGCAGCACCCCCTGGGACATTTGGGACAGGGAAAGAACCTGGAGCACCCCCTGGGACACAGGGACAGGGCCCACAGGGACAGGGCCCACAGCCCCCCGTTCCCACATTCCCTCACCACGCTGGAGCAGGAGGTGTTGTCCAGCAGGAAGAGCTCTGGTCCCACAGCCAGGAGCACCACGGTCACCCTGTCCTGGGACAGCACAGCCCAGCACCCCGGGGGCTGCTGCAGCCCTGGGGGGACAGCGTGAGACAGGCATGGGGGGACAGGGGGACACAGGGAACACAGGGAGGCACAGGGGGACACAGGGGGGT